CCTGCGGTTTTCGTGAGTCTCGGCGGCTGGACGTTTTCCGACAGCGACACCGCGACGCAGCCTGTTTTTGATAATATTGCGCGTAGTTCTACCAAGCGGGAGACATTCTGAGACTACCTCCTCAAGTCTCTGAATACCTACGGATACGATGGGGTTGACATCGACTGGGAATAACTGTTGGAAGACCAACAGCCACGGTTCCACGGTTATCTCACAGATGATGGAGCTTACAACAGTCTGGTTGAGATTCCCGGAGCAGCCCTGAAGTCATCAATTGAAAATTGTCCTTGTTTCTGTCTGTCCTTCCCCTCATCTTGTATAAAATAGCTCGTCGTCAGCTCTTGGCCTCCCCCCACGTAGGCTGCATTGCGCCCACGTTGGGCAGCCATAATCTGTACATGTTCTGCAACCGAATGTCCGAGTGCCACAGCACAGCAAGTGCCAAGCACAACTTCCAACACCCAGCCCAACCCCAACCAACTCACGCTTTGATCGGTTACCGCCACGACACCACCCTGCAGGCAGTCGCAGTCGAGGATGTCATATTCGGCGGCAGTCCGGAAGGAAATCTACCTTTCCTGGAAACCAGTATTTTCGAAACCACGCTATAGCCAGCTACGAAAGCTGGCCAAAATCAAAGAAGTCATCAACCAGTATGCCCCGACGTCACACATGTTCTGGCATCCAAACCTCGCCGGAATTTTAAAGGAGTTGCTTGAAAAAGGCGTATTTTACAGCGAATACTCCGCAAAGGAACTCTTCCCCGAACTTTTCGGTTCCGCGCAATCAGAGAAAAACACGGAGATCGCGTCCCAAATAGAGTCGACAATGTTTGGCTGTACCGTTCAGGCATCGCTCAACGGAGACGATGAGCATTCCAAGGAGCTAATGGAGTCTCTGAAAGGGTAGCTACCACTATGCTCTTCAATAGACCCTTCATCTAAGATTGGCGTTAATAACAAGTCTGTGGCTAGGCTTTACACCAGTGGTAGATACTCCGACCTCGCAATAACCTGCCAAGGGAAGAGCTATCGAGTGCATAAAGCTATTGTTTGCCCAAGATCTGGCTTCTTCGCCGCGGCTTGCAATGGACAGTTCAAGGCTAGTCGTTGTGTGCAAATAAAATCGTCGAAACTAAAAAAAAAAAAAAAAAAAAAAAAACTAATATTTTCTTGTTTTAGGAGGCGTCGGAGGGAAGGATTGACCTCCCGGACGATGATCCCGAGGCAGTCGATGCGATGATTAGCTATTTCTATCGCCTCAACTATGACCTGAACTGGGTTGACTCGTCTCGAGAGGATGAGGACGGAGCTGCCGAAACGGCTACGTTCGAGGAGGCACCCGCAAATTCGAGTTTGGCGTCACGGACACGTCCTGAGCTTGTAGCTCACGCCAAGGTTTATATACTCTCCGAGAAATATCTCGTTGGTGGGCTTAAGGCCCTTGCGCTTCAGAAGTTCGCAACTTCGGTTTGCAACCACTTGGACGTCGATGACTTCCTTCCCGCAATCCAAGAGGTGTACAACTTTACCTCGGAGAATGACAGGGGTCTCAGGGACGTCATAGTAAGCACCCTGTACAAGCACAAGTACTTACTTGATCAGAGGGAGGTGCAGGTTGTATTGAAGGATCTCGGAGCGGTAACCTATGATTTAGTTATGTATATGCATAAGCAAGTCTAGCTGTATTAATGGTTGGTCCGAAGAACCAACCCATCGGAAAAATAGCGGGAAATGGTAATTTGTTGTGTCAAGCTGCTGCTCAGCCATCCCCACCGCCAGACGGAAGATCTGTCCCAGGTTGATGATCGAAAGTTCGACAACTATTCATCTGCCTATCGCTACTGCCTCGATCATCATGACCACCCGGACGACCACTATGGCACTGTTGACGAGCCTGATCCGTCTCCGGATGAGGAGGAGTTTGAGCCAGGGGGGCACGCCGGGGAGATTACCCTCGAGGACTGGCAGGAGACGGGTGAAGACACTCGGCGGGCTGATGTTTGAGCGGCCCTTCGACTGCAGCAGGATCTAATTACCGAGGGACACCATCAGGAGATATGGGGTTGAAGTTGTCCGATCACGCTACCAGGCAACTGCAGGCGTTAGATGCTGTGCCGGGGGAGGTTCCCTCAGAGTCTAATTGATTTGTAAGTAGCGAGGACGTGAGTATAGAGACGTAACGTGAGTGGCAGAATAGAAACGATTAGTAGCTATAGTTAAGTGTAAGAAGACGGCTCAAGTAGATGGAGTTGTTGGCCGACGGACAGATATTGGCGCTTCGTCTCTCCCGTATTCAACCCTGACCCGGATTGTCCTCCGGAGAGGGACAGGAAAATTGCCAGGAGCGGGAGAGAGGAAGGAAGCGCCCCGTGGCGTAGCGAAGGGCCGCGCGACTGACGAACGAAGCGACGCCAGCAATTTTAACAGCCTTCAATGTTGGACCCGCAATTGTTAAACTAAAAAATAAGGAAATCGAAAATCGGCCTTCACCAGCGCAACCATTCCCGACACCAACAACGCCCGACATACGAAAAAGAAACAAAACCCAAATTCAACCTGTGCGCCAATCCCAATCAAATCTCAATCACTGAACCACAGCAACAACAACACCAACCATCCCATCTCTCAACGCCTCGACACAATCTTGCGGCCCTCCTCATCATCAACCACCAAATGCTGCGCCGTCAACAACCACTCAAACAACCCAGCGCGCTTCGCCAAACCAACCCAATGCAGCGCCGGCACCATCGGCAATCCCTTCACAGCCTCCGCCTCCGCACCCCCATTCTTAAGCAACATCTCCGCATACTCCGCCAACTCCCGAATCTGCACACTTGCCATCCCAGGATACTCCACCACGCCCATCCCCTCCTCACCACCCTGTCCACCCAACCCACCCGTCACCTCACCCACCACCGCCGCCGCCACATCCTCCAACCTGCCCACATCAAACGACCCCGACAACCGCGCATAATCCGGCCGCACGCCCAGGCTCGCCGACAGCCGCAGCATATCCCCCGCCATCGCAGCAAGCACTTCCTTGCCCTCCCGCTCCGACGCCGGCACCGCCCCGCTCGGCCGGTGCGCCGTCGCGCGGAGACCGGCCTCGCGCACCGCGCGCGCCAGGTAGCGTTCCGCGACCCACTTGGAGGCGAGGTAGCCGTCGGTGGGGGAGGGGCGCGGGAGGGTGGATTTCGTGTTGTAGGTGTTGGGGTCTTCGAAGGCGCCCAGCGCGCCGGAGCTGAGTGCGTGCAGGTGAGCGCCGGCGGTCAGGAGAGAGCAGCGAGGCCTTGAGCGCGTCGACGTTGACAGGCTGACCGCGCTGTAGCCGTCCCAGAAGGAGCGGTCGGCGGCGCAGTGGATGACCGCGTCGATGATGGCGGGGTCGAGGTCTGGGTGCGTGGTGGGGATGGTGGGCAGGTCGGCGAGGATGGTGCGGATCTTGGCGTTGTCCGCTTGGCCGGCCGCGAAGAAGAGGGTGGAGGGGTCGCGGCCCTCGGTTGGGCGGACGAGGCAGACGACGGTGGCGACGCGGTTGTCGCCCACTAGTCGGCGCACGATGCGCTTGCCTAGGGATCCGGAGGCGCCGGTCACCAGCACGCGCAGGCCCGCACCGTTCTCGCGCGCCTTGGCCGGCGCTGTAACGCCTTGCGGGAGGTCCAGGGCGGTCTCGCGCTCCCAGTCCAGTGCGGTTGCGCCAGCTTGGTCGAGAAGTGCCGCCATGCTACCCAGCTCGGTGGCGCTCATCAGCTTGCTGAGGCGTGGCGCGTCGCCAAACTCCCGCTTGATGGCCGCCTGCAGCTTGACTAGCAGCAGCGAGTTGCCGCCGGCCGTGAAGAAATCCGAACGCGGCTGCAGCACACCGCCGCCGCGTTGGGGGAGCACGCCGGCCCAGAGAGTCGCGAGGCGCGATTCGGTGGGGGTTAGAGGCTGTGCTGGCTGGGTGCCGTCGGCGGTGGTGGAGGCGGTGGTGGTTTTAGGGAGGGACAGGGCCTGGACGGCGCGCCGGTCGACTTTGTCGTTGGATGTGAGGGGGAGCTTGGCGAGCGGGACGATGATAGCCGGGCACATGTATTGTGGCAGGCTGAGGGGAAGGCGAGAGCGGAGTCGGTTGATGACCTGGGCAGTGGCCGCGGCGTCGGTGCTTTGGCTCTCGAGCACCACGTGCGCCGCGAGGAAGCCCTCTGCCTCCCCATCATCCACACCGCGTGCGGTGACGACCACCTGGGCGAGCTGGCCGTCAGATTCTCGGAGCATGACGCGCTCGATCTCGGCCAGCTCGATGCGGAAGCCGCGGAGCTTGACTTGGGTGTCGCCGGCGATGCGGCCCTCGATGGCCAGGAAGCCGGACTTGTCCAGTCGGCCGTAGTCTCCGGTGCGGTACAGCCGCGCGGGCTTGCCGCCGTCACCGGGCACGGGGAAGGGGCTGGAGAGGAACGCCTGCGTGGTCAGGTCCGGCCGGCCGAGGTACTCGTTCTTGCCGACTCCCGCACCGCCGAGCAGGATCTCGCCCGGCACGCCGATGGGCAGCGGGCGCATCTCGTCGTCGACGAGGTAGGCCGTGTAGTTGGGTAGCAGGCGGCCGGGGACGGGAACGGTCAGGGTGGGGTCGTTGCGCACATCGGCCACGCCCTTCATGGCCGAGATGGTCGACTCGGTGGGGCCGTAGCTGGTGTACACGTTCAGGTTGGGCAGGGCCACGCACAGGTCGCGGAAGCTGCGGACGAGACCGGGAGCGGCGCGCTCACCGCCGAACCAGGCCGCCTTCCAGGAAGTGCAGCGGCGGAGCTGGTCCGGGGCGAAGCGCAGCCACATCTCGTACTCGGAGGGCGTCGCCTGGGTCATGGTCACGCCGTGGTCGACCATCAGACGAAGTCACCTCGGCCGGGTCGCCGGCGGGCATCGGCAGGCACGACGAGCAGGCAGCCGCCGGTGGTTAGCGCAGGCATAGATCTGAAGCAGAGAGAGCGTCGAAGCCGAATGAGACCTGCTGGAGGACAACGCCGGCAAGCGAGGGGATGTTCCACGCGTTGTGGTAGCCCTCGAGGTTATTACGTAGACCGGCGTGGGTCACGACGATGCCCTTAGGCTCACCGGTCGAGCCGCTGGTGAAGATGATGTAGGCGGGCTGGTCGGCCCGGGCAGCGGCGGTGTTTGTGGGTTTCTTGCCTTTAGTGTCGGCGGCGAGGCGGGACACGTCGATGGCGGGGACGGCATCCTTGATTTCAAGTTCACCGACGCGGCTTGCGGTCTCAGCGTCGACAAGGAGCGCAGCTGGGCGTGCCACGGCGACGTTGCTCTTCAGGCGCGGGATCGAGTTGCGGAGATCCAGGGGAAGGTAGACCGCACCGACACGGTGGATGGCAACGAGGGAGCAGATCCAGTCCGCTGAGGGGGCCTGGAAGACACCGACCACGGGGGCCTTGCCGTCAGCGTTGTTCGGCAAGCGGACATTCAAGGCGTTGGCGATGCTCTCAACGCGGGCGTCCATTTGGGCGTACGTCAGGACGTTTCCGAGGCCGTCCTTGAGGGCGACCGCCGTGGGGTTCTGGGCGATGACCTCGTCGATGCGGTGGGCGACGGTCGCGGGCCATTTGAGGTTGAGTGCGGGACCTGCAGAGGTGTTAGAAGGTAAGTACTCAATGGTTTCCCAGTAGACACTCTGAAGCGGACCGTGGTGGTGGGAAAAGGGGATAAAGGGGCACCAGCACACATACCAGTTCCGATCTCCAACGCCTTCTCAACATCCACCTTATCCCACTTCTGCAACTTCTCCGTCTCCATTGCATCTCCCTTCGCGGCAAACTCCTTAACCGCATTCGCAAAGCTCCTCACCAACAACTCAGCGGCATCAGCATCATACAGCGACTGCTGCACATGCATGGCCAGCGTGGCGCCATCATGGTCCTCCACAATCTCCAACGCCACATCATACCCAGTACGCGCCGTATGCCAGCGCTCCTCACCAATCCGGCAACCAATCCACTGCTTGTCCGCATGCTCCTTAACCACCAACCGGTAGTTCATAAACACGATGCAGCGGATCAGCAGCGTGGCGTAGGCGACCGCGGCACCCCGACCTCATCCAGCAGCAAATCGAACGGCAGTGCCGAGTGCTTGAGCGCATCCCTCGCCTTGTCCCTTGCTGTCTCGATCGCCTGCCCAAACGTCGCCGCATCACGGTCAAACCTCAACGGCAACACATTCAAGAAATTCCCCACGCTCGCCGCGAACCGGCTATCCAGCCTATTCGCATCCGCAATACCAATGTACACGCGCTCGGTGGTATCCGCAGGCAAGAGACGGAACAGCAGCGCCTGCAGCGCGCCCAGGTACGCGTGGAACGAGGTGGCGCGGCGGCCGCGCGCGAGCGTCTTGAGCTTGGCCGTCGTGTCCGGGCCGAGGTGCGCGCGCGCCACGTGGGTGCCGTAGCGGTCGAGCGGCGGGCGCACTTTAGTGCGCGCGAAGGGGAACAGCTCGATGGGGCGGGCCAGGTCGGCCGCTGGGAGGGTTGTCTTGTAGTGCTCGATGGCGGGGCGCATCTGGCCGCTTTCATAGGCCGCGATTTGGTGCGCGCCGAAGGCCCGCGCTTGCGAGGTGGATGGCATGGGGGGGAGGGGGCGGGCGGGGTTGTTGTAGGCTTGGTGGATGTCTAGCAGGAAGACGCTGAAGCTGTGGCCGTCCATGGAGATGTGGTGCGAGCCGAGGATCAGGTAGTGCGACGTCTCGGAGAGCGTGAGAAGCTTGATGCGCAGCGGCACCCAGTCGCCTAGGTTCCACTCGTACTTGCGCATGGCCTCGAGCTCCTCGGAGGCCTGCGCCTCGGTCTCGATGGTGGCGGTCTCCAGGCGCACGAGGGTCTGCGAGAGGATACCCTGCATGGGGGTCCGGCTGTCGTCGGTGGACCAGAAGAAGCGGGTGCGCAGGGTCTCATGGCGCTGGGCGGCCCTTCTCGACGGCTTTGGCGAGGTCGTTGACGCGGAGCCGGCCCAGTAAGCTTGCCGAGGTAGGCGATGTTGAAGAGTCGTGGGCTCGTCGACGTAGTGGCTGAGGAACCAGAAGCGTCTCTGGCCGAAGGTCATGTGCTCGACGTGTTCGGTGGATGCGCGAGCGATGTCCTTGCGCCAGCTATCGGCGCCCTGCTGGGCGCCCGCGGCAAACCTTGGGTCTCGGAGGAGGCTGGAACAACTGCTTGTCTTCCTCCTGGTCGGGTCTCTCCAACGAGGTACCGGGCGTAGAGACCAGGGCGGGGGAGCTGCTCGCGTCCGTCTCGGCACGCGTGGAGGGTGTGGTGGCGCTGACACCGCTGGCCTCGCTCACCTGGTCAATGGCCTTTTTAGTAACAGGGACAGGGACAGGGACAGGGGCAGGCTGGACGGGCTGAACCGCAGCAGGAGCCGGTGCACCGCTGACGTCGGCAGAGCCCTCTGCCAGCTTGCTGAGGTCAACGATTTCGGCGGGGATCTTCGCCATGGCCTCCTCGGCGAGGGACTTGACCGTCTCGCCGGGGCTCAGGATTTTCAGCACCGGCACATCGACGTCGAGCTCCTTGAGGAACCAGGTACGGAGGTCGACGGCCATGATGGAATCGATGCCGAGCTCGACCAGCGACATCATGGGGTCGACGGTCTCGGTGGCCGGCATCATGAGGATGCGAATGAGATTCTCGGTCAGCGAGTCCTGGACCACAGCA